CCCATACGGCTTAGGGTTTAGGGTTTAGGGTTTAGGGTTTAGGGTTTAGGGTTTAGGGTTTCGATCCCTCAAGCAGTTATCTACAGTCTTGATTCGTCTGCTTGTCGGTCCTGAGATGTTAATACCGGAAACCACAACCCCATATCACTAACCCCCCTATAAACTCCTAGACGCTCTCGTGGTGACTCTTCCCCTCGTGTCCTCTCCGACACTGGGAACCTTCTCTCCAAGATGTCTAGGTACGGCCAAACGAGTCTAAGCCTTAAAGCTCGACAGCTTGGACCCAACAACCTTTAGCCCTAAGCTAAACTGCGAACCCTGAAATCCTTTCAGCTGCACCAGCCCTAAACTCTAACATACTCAGTGACGAGCTGTTCCACTCGACTAGGGCCCGCGCAATTTGTAATAGTATGCAGTTACAGCCCCTGTACAAGTCTGCTACACCGTTGTCATTATTGAGTGCACCCCGTTTGTATAAACCCCCATAGCACCCCGTTCAACCCCATAGCATCTTTATAGCACACGATGCTACGCATTGTGTTTTTCTAGAAGCACGTCAGGGGCATTTTACTTCGGCCGGCCGCGCTACTACCCGTTGATATTGGTGCAGTACCGCAGCTCAGTCTGAATGGACCCAAACCCAGAACCCTTGAACCAAACCCTAAACCCAGAACCCTAAAACCCTAAAGCCCTAAACCCTAAACCCTAAACCCCTGAACCTTAAAACCCCAAACCCTTAACCCCTGAACCCTAAAACCCTAAACTTCTGCACCCGAAAACCCTAAAGCCTAAACCCCAAACCCTAAGGCCCTAGACCCTGAATCCTGGGTTCTGGCTTAGCCTGGGGAGTTTTTTGCTTCAGGTTCAGGGATCTCGGGGTTCTGGGATCTGCCCTGAGCCTCCTCAGTCCAGGATTTAGGGTTTAGGGTTTAGGGTTTAGGGTTTAGGGTTTAGGGTTTAGGGTTTAGGGTTTAGGGTTTCGGGCTTGGTTAATTTTTTTTAGGGTTTACAGGCTTTTAGGATCAGTGGGTTTTGATTTTAGTGGTCTGAGATTGAAGTTTACGCATTACAGAGGTGCAGGGTTAGTTTGTTAGGATTCGAGGATGGAGGGCGATAGGATTCGAGGGTTTGGGATTTGAACCCTAAACCCTAAACCCTAAACCGTGGGTTTATGGGGGCTCCATATCGAAAACTCTGTGCAACGCGTCAGGTTTGAGGGTGTATAGAAGATGTGGCTTTGAGAGTTTATTCGGGGGCGGGGCCCTAAACCCTAAACCCCAGGCCGCAGAAGGCATCAAGAGGCTTAAGGTTGTTCAGGTGTGGGTTTGTGGGGCAAATGGGGTTTGGGGCTTCAGGGTTTCAGGATTTAGGGTTCAAGGGTCGTTAGCACTTGGATCGTTTGGGTTCGTGGCTTGGGGTCTTGGGGTGTGTTGGATCGCAGCTTTCGGGTTAGGGGGCTTCCTCTGATTAATTACTCGCAGAGCTTCAACAAGAAAGACGAGGCTCGATTTCGGAAGTAATTACACCTGGAGTCTAGCATATGATAATCCCTTGAAAGTCCCGATATAGCTAGGGTAGTCTTATGGACAAGTTTCCAGTTACAACCGCAAGAAGAATCAAACCAGTCCAAATATTGAGTTCCCTTTAGTCGGCCTATACCCTACATCTAGAATCCTAGAGTTCCCTTTACCCTAAACCCTAAACCCTAAACCCCAAATCCTAAACCCTAAACCCTAAACCCTAAACCCTAAACCGCACCTAGAATCCTAGAGCCCCAAACCCTACAGCCTCTAGCGTGTTAGGAAATGGCTCGCGTGTCCGGGACTACCAGGCAAGAGCAGTCGAAGATTGTGCCGCACGGGGTAGGACAGGATAGGTAGGATGTGAGCTATTGAAAACATGAATCCAAGCCCGAGTGAAAACCCTACTTTTAGAGTGTTATGAACCTCCAAGTACTGGCTGGAATCGATATTCTGCCCCCGCCCTGGCGCTGCATGCGTTGTGGAGCTGCCAAGCTGCGAGCCAGCGTCTCGTTGAGTTGTCTTCCCAATTCTGTACAAGTCGACATGAACATGTCCCCTCCCCCTGGCAGTACCCCTAATCTTGGGTGCTTTCCGTGTTAAAGACCGAACAGCCCGAACAAGTGTACCTTTTTCTTACCGGGGATCCTAGATGAAGCTCGAACATTTGCGATAGGGCAGTCTGTAGAGGGAGGCCAGTAGGAAGATGATGTGCTGCAGTGCCTCTTAATTATGTTATTCTCGTGTTCTGAGTCTAAGGCGTGCCGGTTTTAGGGCTTAGGGCTTAGGGCTTAGGGTTTAGGGCTTAGGGTTTTAGGGTTTAGGGTTTAGGTTTGTTTCTGGCTGAGGGTGTAAGCTTCACGAGTCGTGCCGGTCCCATCTTGTCCTGCAGCTCTCCATTCTTGAGCATCACCTAGCCTATGCTCCAAAGCCTAAAACCCGAAAGCCTAAAACCCCAAAGCGAAAAACCCTAAAACCAAAAGACCCTAAAGCCTAAAAGCCCTAAAGCCTAAAAGCCCTAAGCCGTAAGCCCTACGCCCCAGAGCCCAATGTAATGTAGGGGCCTAAATAATTACCTATACTATTTTCGAGGTTCCTTATCATGATTATACTATGAAGGAGCCCAAGACCCTACTCTAACTATATACCCTAAACCCTAAACCCTAAAACAAACCCAAACCCCAAACCCTAAACCCTAAACCCTAAACCCTAAACCCTAAACCCTAAACCCTAAACCCAAGTACCTTGGCTCTACAAGTGCAGCCCTGACTTCCAAGCCTACCCCGAACTGGAGGTCTGAGCCCCAAAGCTCCAGGAATCGGGTTTAGGGTTTAGGGCTTACGGTTTTAGGGTTTAGAGTTTAGAGTTTAGGGTTTAGAGTTTAGGGTTTAGGGTTTAGAGTTTAGGGTTTAGGGTTTAGAGTTTAGGGTTTAGGGTTTAGAGTTTAGGGTTTAGGGTTTTAGGGCCTGAGCTGTAGGTCTGGAGGTCAGGTTTAGGGTTTTAGGGTCTATGGTTTAGGGCCCCAAAGCTCAAGGCATTCCTCCCTCTTCTTTGCCACAAAGTCTCCTTTTGACGGTTCGGGGCCACATACCCCTGTTTCAGGGTGACCCTCGATTCGACCCAAAGTATCTTTTTGTCGGTTTCGGGGGGCACGTACCCCTACACCCCAAGCCCTAAATCCCACTGTTTGTCAGGGTAGAGGGGAGGTCCTGCTTCAGAGGCTAAACCCTAAACCCTTTATTCTTCCCACACGAAGGCCCCAATAACAGGCTCCTCCTGGCGAGGAATTCTACACATGCAGGTGGAAAAGAGCTCATAAAAAAAAAAAAACAAAAAAACAAAAAACAAAGAAAACGCACACACACACACCCTAAACGCTAATTCCTAAACCCTTTATTCTTCCCACACGAAGGCCCCAATAACAGGCTCCTCCTGGCGAGGAATTCTACTGTACATGCAGGTGGAAAAGGGCCCATAAAAAAAAAAAAAGAAAAACGCACACACACACACACACCCTAAAGGCTAAACCCTAAACCCTAAACGTCCTTCTTCCGTGGATGCCGAACACACTCAAGGCTAGAGCCTCTCAGTGTGTTGTTACATACCTGGCTGCTATGGTTTAAGGGTTTTACCGTAGGGGACTAAGTAATTGCCACTACTATTTTGGGGGGCTCCTTATTATAATTATGTTAGAATGGGCCCCAAAACCCTATTCTAATAATTAAGGCCCCTATATTAGGGGGTTTCGTATTCAGGATGTTAAAGTGGTTCAGGGCTTTAGGGGTTTAGGGGTTTTTAGGTGGTTTAAGGTTTATGATCTTCGGGCCCCCCCCCCCCCAATCTGCTCAGAGGTGCAGAAGGGGACATGGTTTCCCCAAGTTATCCTAAACCCTAAACCCTCAACCCCTAAACCCTCAACCCTAAACCCTGAAACTTACACCCTGAACCCTGAAACCTAACCCCTCAACCCCTAGGCCCTTAACCCTCAACCCCTAAACCATAAACCCTAAACCCTCAACCCTAAACCCTAAAGTTGAAGAAGCAGTCCGCAACGACTCAACGCCTGAAGCCCATGCTCTGGTCCCGCCATAGATCCCATGATTTAAGGCCCCGGTAGGGTTTAGGGTTTAGGGTTTAGGATTGATAAACCCTAAACTAAACCCTAAACCCCAAAAGACTTGCGCTCAAAACCCCACAGCCAGAGAGCAAGCTGGGGTTGAGAGCCGTACTGGGCTGCTTATAAAGGAACCTTTAAAGGAGCCCTTCGCCAAACCCTAAACCCTAAACCGTTTTCAAGCCATGGTTTTCGAGCGAACCCGGCCTGTAGCTGGGAGCCGCCAGGGGCTCGGAAAAAGCTATGTCGGAGTAGGGCCGAGAAGCCGAAACCCAAGGGTTTAGGGTTTGGGGTTTAGGGTTTACGGTTTAGGGTTTGGGGTTTAGGGTTTAGGGTTTGGGGTTTAG